AGCAGATATTTATATTTGTAGTGACCACTTTGAATGATATTGGAGGCCTTATATCGAAGGCAGCAGGCGAAAGGAGCTCACTTGACTTTGAGAGTGTGCACACTGTATCTCTATTCCTTTTCAGTTTTTGAATGTTCATTTCATCGGCTATCAAATCTATGGAAATGATTATTGCATTTCTCCAGAATTAGATTCTACAAGATGATAATCAAAACTGTGCAAGTTTTCAGAAATTTCAAAGGTGTCACGTTTGAAAGAAAACTTTTACAATTTTTTTTCCGAATTTTTGGAATTGTCACTAATTACTGAAATAATTATTACCGAATATGTCTATAAGAGTATGAATAATTTGATTCATTACTATTGGGTGTGTGTTACTGAATAAAAAAAATATCGAAAACTAGTGTTAATTTTAATATACCATTCATTCATTCATCAACATACTGTATAATTGTGTTTGTTGCATGTCATTATCAATAATTTGGGCTCTGCTAGTATATCTAAGCTGTATTGACCCTGAAATTTTGAGAGGACATAAAATTGAGAGAAAGAATTGGACATGTATAGAGTAGAATGAAGATGAAAGAGATGATTTGCCCCAAAATGTCACTGCATTCAACAAATTTTTTTATCAGGGAGCCTAAAAGAAAAATCCAGTAGCTTGTCAGTGACACCATGTTTGAAAAACTGTTTGAAGGAAAGAAATATAGATATATTGAAAAAATATCGAATTTTTACTAATCTTTGGACGTTTCGGGAAAGAATCTGCTCCCGTTCTCAACGTGAAAATGCAAAATATTTTTCTTTGGAAGTTGTGCTCTGCTTATAGTTTGACACGTCTCAGTGTCATACTGATGTTGGCATATGAATGAGTGATTTCAGTCTACAAATGAGAATAGTTTTCATTAATTGATCTTGAATCTACCATTTTCATGTTCAGTTTTCAGTAGTGAATACCATGTTCTATCTATATCAACTGAACAGGAAGTAATGCTATTGTTTCCTTTCAGAAGAATGCAAGCGGATCCCTTGATTTCTCTTTCAAATCACTTTTTTTTTCAATTTCTACCGATGAGTTTATTGAAAAAGTTTCACACCAACCGTAAATACAAAGCCTATAGAATATTTGGCTAGTGGTAAAATAGTGTGTAGTGTCCAACATACCTGTTTATACCTTGCAGCCCAATAGTTAGTAGGGCTGCGCGATATTGGATTTCAGTTATCGGTTATCGATAAGTTGAAATTTATCGATAAGTTCGATATATCGATATTTATCGATATATCGATATTTATCGATATTTATCGATATATCGATATTTATCGATATTTCGATATTTATCGATATATCGATATTTATCGATATTTATCGATATATCGATATTTATCGATATTTATCGATTTATCGATAGTTATCGATATATCGATATTTAAAAACTTGAATATCGTTATTCGATATATCGATATATTTATATTTATATATTTATATATTTTTTCCCAGCCCTAATCGTTATTATCTGATCGATTTTGAAAAACTTTTTATTGATGGATAGGTATTTGAAACGTCCATCCACTAAGAGAGTGACTTTATTTTTGGACTGTTATCGTGTGGCCAACTGCGACCAATTTTATTGACTCATATTCCAAAAAGTACTATTAGGGATTTTTTTTTACGGATAATAATGATGGATTCGGAATCAGGAACAATTGAAATATACAAATATACCTGTACCAATTTTCATTATTCAAATATATACAGTCTGTCCAAGGTAAGGTTGCACAACATGGGGATCTCGGAAACGGTATAGGAGATACGGAGTCGTTTAAATGGGGAAAAAGTTGCGCATTCGGAGGCTCATACCAACAGCCCTCAAAACTTTTCAAACTTGTTTTTAGTTTTTCAGTTATATCGAAAAAAGTGAATTTTTGGAATATCTATTTTTTTTTCTCCGTTATTATTAGATACAAAAAAACTGAAAAAACTTTTTCATGGCAACTGTTGATGACGTTTAACGTGTTGATAACCGATTTTTTTATGCGACGTTTTGTATCCGTAGAAACATCCTCAACTTTTGTTTTTTAAATACCTGATAATTTTTTCGCAGATTCTGAAAACTTTTTTATTCTGAATTCAACCATGTATAAGGTGGTTTCGATGTGTTTCGACCTATTTTTAGCCATCTTCAATGTGTTTTCGAAATTCTAAAGGAAAAATTCCATCAGTTCCACTTGTTTCTGATCATTTAGTGTCAAACATTGAGGGACTATATAGTTATTCAATACCGAAAAGTGGAAAAAAAATATTTCACCATATTATTCAATGCAGCGCTTCAAATTAATTATGAATTCTTACACGAATTACTTTAATAACTTAATTTTGGCAATACCAACAGAAACATTCATAACAATTGTTCAAAATGATGACCATTATTCTCTAAATAAAGATATCCTCTTCTCACAGTTGCTTCTAAGACATTACTGAGCAACCTTATCTTGGACAAACTGTATATCGAAATATATATATCGATATTTATCGATATATCGATATTTATCGATATTTATCGATATTTATCGATATTTATCGATATTTATCGATTTATCGATAGTTATCGATATATCGATATTTAAAAACTTAAATATCGTATTCGATATATCGATATTTTTTCCCAGCCCTAATAGTTAGACCGGGAAAAACATAGGCAACCCTACGATTCTATAGGCTTCGTACTTACGGTTGATGTACAATTTTTTCATCAAACTCATTGGTAGAAATTTGAAAGAAAAAGGGATTTTCGAATTTTCAATTAATTATAGCCTGTCTAGAATTTTTTCAGGCAACCCATTTTTCATAATTTTCGAAATGCTGAATTATTTATAAAATAATTGTCATCCATTAACCAGATGGGAGAAAGTCGACCTTACCTCGGATCTTAGACAAGCAAAATTCATCGACTTCCTTTGTATCGAAGCTCGTATAACTCAGGGTCAAATTATGATTGGCTCGTTTCATGTGTTGAAAATTGGACATTCCAAAATAAAAAACAAAGCGATATTTTTGTTACATTAGTATTTATCGCAAAACTGGTTTTTCATCATACCGTTACTTTTCTCAGGGCATGTGGCCAATACACATATCAACATGATCTTCTAAAAGCTTCAGAGACCTGAATTGCATATTGCAAATGGGGCATGCATGTCTCTTCATCGGTGGAGACTATATAAAAGTAAATTGTTAACAAAGAAGAAAAACATTTTCTCAAAACACTGTTCTTTTATTTCTTCCACATGATGAAATTTGTTCTGGTTCTCCAACATTTAGATGACGTTCTAAAGGTATATGTCACACGTTATAGTTCATGCGAATTTGTTAAAGCTAGTAGAGCGTTATTTTGATCTATATTAGAGATATTAAAAACAGTGGCGGCTCCTCAGAGGAGGCAACGGAGGCTGAGCCTCCTCAGAGATGTTCCTTGAACTAATATTATTTATACTTTTTCATTAAAAGGATACCAAAATACATGGTTAGATTTTATTTCCTGTTTTTAGTTAAATATTTTTCACGCATAGTATATTCAACTTAGCAACATCTATAGGAGGCTAGACTCCTTCACATGGCGCAACCTACGCGCGCAAAGCAAATGCCTGAATACGCCCGAATAGCACGTGTTTGTCGTGTCGCTTCGCGAATTGCGGACAAACGCGAGTGCATTGTTTATGTTTATGTTAGGTTAATGGTTAGGGGCTCTATAAATTTCTGAAAATTGAGTGTTTTAAACGATTGCGATTTAGTGGAATACTTTTTGGTGAACCCATTCAGTGCTTTGTCATATGAAGATAAATTGATTGTGAAAAACAAACGTCCGACACTGGAATTGAAAAATCTGATTGAAACAGGTAACAAACAAAATCGTTCGTTCAATTCTGATAATTATAAAAAATATATCTGGCTGACGGGATCTGAGGTAAGGAATAAGCTATTTTGTTGGTACTGCGTATTATTTTCAACCGATAAGTCATCATGTTGGGGGCGATTAGGATATAATGATTTGAAAAATTTGCTTCGCGGATTGGATAGACACTGCAAATCACAGGAACACATCTCTTCGAGTATTAAGTTCAGGATAACTGTTAAACAGAATGTCATTAAAGCTATTGATTCGGGTGAGTAGAGAGTTGTTTTCACAATAAATCTCATGTCATTCAGCCTCCTCTGTCATGAAAGTCACGAGCCGCCACTGATTAAAAATTGTTATTTATCTAACAAGTGCGGAAAGTAGCACTTTTCTGCACGCGATTGCAGTTGCCTTCAAGGGTGGAAAATACATTTTCCGCAAGAGTTAGGTACAATGTTTTTCCTGAGAGTGTTTTATCCATATTATTTATGCAAAAAAAGGTGTTTGATAAACAAGATTTTATAGTAATACTACAAAATGACACATAGGACAGAATAGTTACATGGATCATTTAGTGAGTCCTGAATATACTCATTTTCAACAATACTTAAATTGTGCGGAAATAGTATACTATTATATCAGTTTTATAAGATAATGTTTTGTCTTTATCTATGTGTTTTGTATTTCATATTTTTGAAGTCTCCTTCATTCAATAAATCGAATATCATGTCTAACAATGCCAATTCTAATGGGGAAAAGAACTTATCTCCATTTAATGTCACTGATTACGCAAAATAAACAGAAGTTTCAAATGTTCAGTCACTGTCAATTCGTTCAAATTGAGAGAAATGCATAATAGGTGAAGTCTAGGCAAAGTCAGTTGGAACAACACATCAACCTCGGGCCGTCGGTATCTTTGATGATCTGTTTCAACTGACTTTGCATCAACTATACCAATGTTTGATTTGACCTAATCAAATCAGCGTCATCCTCAGGTAAATCTACCATAAGTAGAAATTCCAAAGAAACCGTGCAAATTCCATGAATTAGTTTGCCTACATTGCATTCAAATTATAAATTGTGAAGAGTCTTTGAAATCTTATTTCTTACCTGATTAGGTGAATCCCTAGGTCTATTACCATGTGGGTATACAACATAATCAACATTGTCACGGGCTACTTCTAATTCTTCTTGGAGTTGTTGATTACGTCTCTGCAAGTTCTGCAAATCTTCAGCTAGTTTATCCTTCTCTTCTTTGATAGTTTCTTTAGCTTGTTTCTCAACTTCAAAATCAGCTTTGTAAACTTCAAGCTGCAAAGAATTGATGATCAGTTGAAAAATATCAATGTTTCTCTGAATATAAACAAAGGTGGGCCAAAAGAAATCACCCTATTGGAACATACTCTTATTTTTGCAAATGGCGGCCAATGTCAAATCTGTTTTGACAATTGGAAACTAGACAGATGTAGAATACAAGTGCACGAGCCATGGAGCGATACACTCCCTAAGAACGCGTGTCTTTTTTGCGTTACAATTCGTCTGTGGTGTTGGCGCAGCGTGAATTCCGTCGCCGATTCCCTGGTCGTCCGACACCGACTGCGCAAACACTACGCCGTTTGGCCACCAACCTTGAAGAGTATGGGACCACACGAGACGCTGCCAAGTGTAGCCGGTCCAGGAGCGCCAGTTCTGTCGAGAATATCGCTGCTGTTGCCGAGGATGTCGAGTAGTGGCCAGAAACATCGACCAAAATCATAATGAGCCATGAGGCTCATTTCCACCTTAGCGGGTACGTGAACAAGCAAAACTATCGCTTCTGGGGCACCAAAAATCCACGAGTGATGCACGAGGAGCCATTACACCCGCTCAAAGTGCCTGCATGGTGCGCTGTTCACGCTGGAGGATTCATCGGGCCATTTTTTTTCGAAGACGCCGCTGGTCAAACCACAACAGTGGACGGTGCGCGCTATAGGGCCATGTTAACCGAGTTTTTTTCTGCCGTAATTGAACGAATCAGAACTGGAGGATATGTGGTTCCAATCGGACGGCGCAACGGCACACACTGCGCGAGCAACCGATATTCTGAAGGCGGCGTTCCCGGGTCGCCTCATCTCTCGATTTGGCGATTTGCACTGGCCCGCAAGATCGCCCGATTTAAACGTTTAAGACTTTTTTGTGGGATTTTATGAAGTCCCGTGTTTACGTGAACAAGCCCGAGACCCTTGAAGCCCCCAAGGACAACATTCGACACGAGTGCGAGAATCTGTCGCCCGAAGTTCTCGCCGAAGTGATGAAAAAGGCCATAAAACGAGCCCATATAACAATCAAATGTGGCGGCGCCGATTTGGCCGATATCATCTGCTCGACTTGACCGATAAAATTAAGGTTCAAATAAACATAATCAGGAAACAGAATCGAAGCTTTTCATTCACAATAAAAATGAGAGCCAAACAACATCGGGTGACTTCTTTTGGCCCACCTTGTATTTTGTCATTCACAAATAATTTTATAGCCTTGATTATTTATACCAACAAGATAATCCACCTCAATACTCCTGGATAACTTGGAATTCATGGAAATCAGAGGCATTGTGAGAAATATTTTAGCTCCATATCTTGAAAATAGGACAATCAGTACCAAATCTGCTAATTCTGAGTCTCATAAACTGTCAATGTCAATACTGTATCTGCTTTATATTCAAAATATCACGAAAGTTGGTTTAGCCAGTAATTATACCATACATAATGGATGATACAGTGCTTTTATATGAAAACACAAATCCTCTGATTTTAAAAACTGTGATAAATAACGATCTGCAATTATTTGAAAAATGGCTCCACTCTAACCTTTTAACAATAAATTCCAGAAAATCTGAATACATGATTTTTCAACAAAAAATAAACAGAAAATTCAGCTCAATCTGCAAATAAACAATGAATTCTTGAAACAAACTGTACAGATAAAGTATTTAGGTATTTGGTTTGATGAAAAATTGAAGTGGGACAAACATATTGAGGTTCTGACAAAAAAATTATCTCCTATTATTGGTGCATTGAGAAGATATCCCAAACTCAATATAAAGTTAAGAAGTTAGCAGCATTCAGAAATAGATCTGAAAATGAGGCTGATCATTATTGACCCCATTCAATAATATCAATATGGAAACAGGATTAGAAGATTTCAAATCATGTTTTCAATAGGTTACCTGTGTTAGAAGAGCATATATTTCATCTTTATGATGCGTTTGAGCCTGCAGCGATTCCACATGATCAGTCAGACCCCTAATTTGATCAGTCATCATCGCAACTTGTGAATATGCTGCAGCCCTACTTTGTTCGACTTGTGTCAGCATGCCCTGAGTACTGGCCAGTTGGGCACGAAGATGCTGTAGCTCAGGGGGTGATGAGGCTCTGTACTGCAAATCATTGTATACTCTGGCATGATATTCTTCTCTTTCCACAGCGGTATTTTTTGCTTTTTCCAGCTCCAATTCCAACTGGAAATCAAGAAGTAACAGAAAATGGATATTTGTATATTTCAAGTGGACAACGGGAAAGTTTCCATCTGATGAATTTTCATCAAATTAGTGCAACACTGATTATTATCATATTTTAGCAATACATATTGCCCTTTCAAACCATTTTTATTCTCCAACTAGAGCAAATAGGAAATTTTCAGGCGGCAAACGATAACGTGATCAATGAATCTAGTATGAAAATGATGAGTTTTGCTGTTCAAATTATTCTCCGAACAAGCCCGAACTGAAAACGAAAGGAAAATCAGAAAAAGAATGCATATAACTTTCTGAGTGAGAAACATAAACAACATATCTATAAAAGCATGTTTCTTTAGTTTTTAAACCAACTATTCATTTTCTACTTCTGCTTAGTTCGGCAATCTATTTATTTTTCACTTCTCTCAAGTTTGGCTTTCTATATAAAAGCGTGTTTCATCGGTTTTCAAAGTACTATCTATTACAAACCCCGTTCGCCATATTGAATTCGCCATCTTGAATTTGATAATTATGACAAAAAAATACTAAACTCCGACCCCGAAAAGCCCCAGGCACCAATTTCAAATAGAATCCGATATATTAGATCCGCCATCTTGAATTTCACAATTTTGTCGATAGAATCATAATCTTCGAGCCCGAAAACAGATTTTTGGTGGATATTGATTTTCCTGTTGTCATAAGAGAATATTTTTAAAACATTTTGCATCGTCGGATAATAGTATAAGTATGATTAGTTACTGACGTTACTGTAAAAAAATCTCGTTGTCACTAGATGGCGTTTGGGGAGCATTTGTGCAAGGTTGGTAGAACTGATTATAATTTGTATAGGAAGGTTGCCTCGATCGATAGTGCGGCAAGGGGGGAAACGGTCACTCGTGACGTCACAGGCAGTAAGATAAGATGAGTAAGATGACAAGTTGTCAACCTTAAAGCAAAATGTCATGAAATGTTGTTTACCAGATAGAGTATACAAACTTTTTGGTCTGCTCAGCATATTTATATTAAGGGTATATAATTATAAGTACCATTATAAAATATGGATATTTACATATACTTCTGTATAATACCTTCAATCTTCGAAATGAGAAGGCAATTTTGGATGGATCATTTTCATCATGGATGAATCAGTAGTACAGAGAGGAATACCTATCTGAAATTTTGTTCCAGGGGCGAGTCCAGGGGCTATTTACCAGGTCCTGGTACCAGGTATGTGTGTTTTTTGAGGTATTGAGCATAATTATGGAGCTAGTGATTACTTAATATGCATTGTACCTACACATCCTATAAATATCTTGCAAATCAGATAAAGTGAACAAGAAACTACCGAAAATAAAAGAATAATCAACTGATGATCCAGAAGTATAGTAGCAGTGGACCAATATTCGTACACATCAGACCCCTTATTTTATCAATATAACTCTGTATTCTGAAAAATTAGAAAACATCCCTAGATACCTACCTATAGAAAATACAAGAGAAAATAGTATTTCATTGTTTGATTATATTGTAGAGTCAAAACAGAGCAATTGAAGTGTTTGAGCAGAAAAAAATAACAAAATGTGATTCTGTTCAAAATAACAGAATTAATAAATAATAAGTAAACCTATAGTAAAGGATAGTTCAAGGAATCTCTCAAATAAACATAGCTCCTCTTCGTTGGGTAACGTTCTCTTGCTCAAATATCTCGACTTGAAAACAGGTGTGATATCTTCTGATGTCCATTTCACCCGTTCAGCAAGAATCTCAACATTCACAACTGGTCTGGTTCTGATCATTTTTCCAAACTTCCATACTTATGGTGTTTCTCTTCTTGTATTTGGTATTATTGAAGGGATTCCTACCTTAAGTTTTCTTCTCTTTGGTGTGTGATTTAGCAATTCTGCTTGTGCCGTTCAAAATCCTCGGCATCGAAATCAATTTCTCACGAATAGACTCATCTTGTGGAAATTAAAGGAAACACAAACTAAATTCACTAGTCTTATTACACTTGTACGAATTTTAACAAGAAGTGACTGAACAAATCATCATTTTTACATTTTTAATTTCAAAATGATTCAAATATTCGAAAATACTGACAACTACAACTGTCACTTCAATACATGCGCCGGCGTACATATTATACACGAAGTGTACGAAAGTGCTACACTTCTCGTTCAAAAGAAAGGGCCTATTACGTCATGAGTTACTCGCGGGGTGCGATCATGGTGCGATCGAGGCAACCTTCCTCTACAAAATAATCATCAGTTCTACCAACCTTGCATTTGTGTTAATTTATCAATACAAATAGTGTCATCAGATCTTAATTATACATGAACCAATGATTTGAAAATAGTTATGTCACAGGTGATGATTCAATAATATTTGCGATAGAAAATAACACGTCGCCCCACCTGACGGCAGCAACTTGAACACTTCTGAGCGGTTTGTTTTGATGATATGACCAATAAGCACAAACAGAAAACAAATGTGAACCAATGAAATCAAAGTAAACAAACCGTTTTGCCAGCTTTCAAAACTCCGATAGGTAGCGTACGCTTATTTTCCATGGCGAATACAGTACAGCCCCATTATTCTACAGTTTTTGATTTTTGCCACATACCATCGTTTCTCAATTGATTGAAAATTAAATTACCTGCACACATTTTTGTTGGATTAATTCTCTGTCGATGTTGTTCTTTTCAATAGTGTCAGTTAATTTAGAATTCTCATTTTTCAACAGGATATTATCGTTCACCAATTTCTCAATTTCACATTTTCCAGCACTTGCATCCAATTCTAACTTTGATTTTTCCTCGTTCAAGATTTTATTTTCGACCATTGATGTTTTCAGTATGTTTTCCAACTCCTTAATTTTTTTGTTGGCAGCATCCAATTCAAATTCTTTTATGTTATTGTCACTGCTCTGAGCAATTTTAGCGTTGGTCAAACGTTTACTTTCCTCAATTTTCAATTTCAAATCTGCAATTTCATTTTTCTGTGTTTCCGAGAGTTCATTTGACTTCTCCAATTGATGTTTCACCATCAAGTTATCAGCCTTCATCTGAAAACAAATAACAGTTATGGAAGAACACAGCTTTGAAAATTAAAATAAATTGTAGATTCCTCATAAAAAAAGATAAATATTTTTCCTTCACGAATATTTACTCAGGGTTTCCGTTTTCTAAATACAGTGCGTCAGAAAAAAATTACAAAATTCAGGTTTTTGCTCTTATCTCAGGAACCGTTTGAGCTACGGAGCTGAGCCTTTGTACACACTTCATCATTAATAATGACTACTTCTAAGGCTCTTGATCAATTTCCTTGGGCATGTCAGTGGCGGAGAGTTCAACGCCTCGTAAGGGTTTAACCCCCCTAACTTTCATGCCACTAGAGAAATTGTAATTTTCAAAGCACATTCTGAAGCGCCAATATCTTTCAAAGGTCCTCTTGCTTCAATGCTCTGAAGTGAACAGTTTTCGAGAAAAATAGTTATTCATGAATAAAAACATACAAAATCCTACTATAATTTTTTTTTGAAAAAGATTAAACTTGTAATTGAAATACTATAGTTATCATTAACAATATTCACAGCAACAATTAACTCAACTTGGGAGAAAAATCTTCAACACCTTGATGATTCAAATGTATCAAAAGTTGTTCAAAATTACGACCTCCGACTTCAGTGCAGCATTGCATCTACGAATCATATTTCTTCGAAAGTTGTCCATAATTCGAGGCATGTTGCCAATTTCGAGCTCTGCAGCTTCAATTCTGGCCGTCAATTCCTCTAAAGTATTAACCGGATTCTCATAGACTATGGGCTTTTCATGTAACCCCATAAAAAGTCCAATTTCCCCAGTGGCATGAAAGTTTGGGAGGTTAAACCCATACGAGGCGTTGAACTCTCCGCCACTGACATGTCCAAGGAAATTGATCAAGAGCTTAAGAAGTAGTCATTATCAATGATGAAGTGTGTACAAAGGCTCAGCTCCGTAGCTCAAACAGTTTCTGAGATAAGAGCAAAAAACTGTATTTTTTCATTTTTTTGACGCCCCTCATGGCGATAAAGGATCAAATTTTACGATACTGGAAAGGCCCATCATTTCAGAAGGTATTCATTGAACATTTCGAATTACAACTTGCAAACCAAAATGCCAGAAGTTGAAATAACATGTTTTTCAGGCATACTAGTCCTTTCAATGGACTTATAAAATTGCATCTATCAAAAAAACTTTTTTTTTTCATGTTCTGGTCCTCACGAAAAGGGGTATACTGTAATGTGCAGAGAACATCGTGAGAACCAAACGAAATAAGGTAGGAATTGGTGTTCTTCTTAAATTTCTGGAGGTTATATGCCTCGGGGAACACCTTCCATGGCAATGTGTTCCAGAGCCTCGCTGTTCGTTGGATGAACGAGTCTTTGGAAAGAGATGTTCTGCAGGTCTCCAAAGTGCCCACGAAGGGGTGCGAAGCCTCAACTCGGCGGGTTAATCTCGCGGGGACTGCCAAGGGAGAAACAATTGTTGATATTTCAGAAGAGCATCGTCCATGAAAATATCTATAAAATAGAGCCAGATCGCCAGCTTTTCTCCAGAGAAGTCAGTGAGTTTGTGAGCGAGGCATCACCCACGCGACGAATTGCCCTTTTTTGGACAGGGTATGTTGGGGTGCTTCACTCCAAATATGGGAACAGTATTCCAGGACAGGTCGGATCTGTGCCTTATAGATCATAAGCAGCTAACTGGAAGTGAAATAGCTCCTGGCCCGAAACAGAAAACCAAGTTTTTGGGATGCACTTTTAGCAATTGATCTCACGGGATTTTCCCAAGAAAGGTTATTGCTGTTAGTAATACCAAGCATCGAAATGGATGTCTTCAAAGGTATGGGTACGCCTGACAAGCTTATGTTGGGCATAGTGAGATCGTTTTGTTTGCATTGAAATCTACCAAGATATTGGATCCCATTTCGAGAATTGTTGCCAAGTCCATATTTATGTTGTCAACATTTCTCACTCGTTCGTTTTTGATTTGCCTGGCTGGTATTGGAGCCCTGGAAGAGAAGGGTAGTATCATCCGCAAAGCTGTGTACTGGACATGAAGTTGTTTCCAACAAATCATTGATATGAAGTAGAAATAGTGTTGGTGCTAGAATTGATCCTTGCGGAACACCAGTATTTACGATAAGAGAATCAGAAGAAACTTCGTCGACCACTACATGGAGAGACCTGTTTGAGAGAAAACTAGCTAGCAGAGTACATAGCTGGGGATGCAAGCCATAAGATGGAAGCTTGGCGAGGAGTCCGTGGTGCCAGACTCGATCGGTATTGAATGGCATGGCTACAATGTTCGGTTGAAATATATGCAATGAGATAATTAAGAACTTACCTTCTCTATAAAATCTTTCGCCTCGGCAAGCTTCTGCCTATGAGCTTGATGCACCTTTTGAACGTCTTCTTGCCAAGCCACAATTCTTTCATACTGCGACTTCATGCTCATATTATTCTGTAGCAAAGCATCTAAGGCAACCATGTAGAATATCAGTTTAGAAAAATTACGAGATTTTGAAATAAAGGGGAAAAATTACGTTTTTCGTCGACCTCTACAAAAAACGATATTTTACTCATTAATTTCTGAATGAAAATTTCAATCACAATTAAATCTATCAATCTTTTCTGATGTTTAACCAGATTTTGAGTAGTTATTTCTGGTTTTTCAGCCGTTACAAATTGTATTTGTCCAATTAGGACTGCTTTTTCCGGCTGACAACCCCTTTTCAAATACTTTAACCTTATTGCTGCACATGGTAATATTACTGTCATCAGTAGGCAATTGTAGTATTTTCATGGTTGTTTCCTTACAGGTACTTTTTTATGTGTCTGATGATGGCCGAGTGCCAAAACTAGTTACACGTCTTATGTAATTAATTTTTTGTGGTCGACCGACTTTGGGTTTCTTGTATTTTTCTTAGATCACAAGATTTCTCAAGAATAATACCATGGGAACATATCAATACAGAAGATATAAAAAAAAACTCAAGAGTGTGAGTGTCAATCTTGTAGCGATTGTGTTTTTCTATTGAGATGGATAAAATAAAGAATAAATATATTGTGTGTGGTATTCCACATAACGAATTAGTTTTGTTGTCTATTATTGTTATATGATCTATTAAAACGGTTACCTTTTAGATGAACGTTCTCATCAATTATCTGTGATATTTTTCTTTGGACCTCTTCAGACGGCAAATCCTCGAAAGACCACTTTGGGAGATTTTGTATTTCCGGTAAACCCTAAGAATCGTAATAAGGTAAGTACTACTATGAGGTTTACACAATAAGAAAATGTAAAGCTGGGTATGCCCACTGATACAACTACTATCTAGACCGCTATATGTCATGTAACAACTTTATATTCAAATTCTGGAATAATTCCAATATACTTCGTATCTTTTTATTTATTAATTATAATATTCAGATGTTTTATATTATCCATGGATATCATCATCCCTAATACAGGGTGACAGACATATACTGAGGAATATCAAATTCCTGATCTAATATTCCCACAAAGCTCCCTATCTTCTAGAAATCATCACTCCTGTGATGAAACTTCCTCAAATTCGTAACATGGGCAGACTCTTCTTTCCCATTGTTGTCATAATTCACATATGCTAATGTTCCTTGAATGTATTTTACTCTTGTTATCTTGAATGGTCCATTTATAACATAATCTTTTCCTATTCGCTGTTGTCGAATCAATATTGAATCCGCTATATTCAATTTTGGTGGTTTCAATCTATTTCCTTTATTAGCGTTACATTGTATCCTCTCTTTGTACTTTAGCTGTTCTTCCGGAGATTTAGGTTTTTCATCAAATGATATATCCAAAGCCAACGATTTATCAGCTTGCAAAATAGCTGATTTTCCATACAATTTATAAAATGGTGAACATCCTAAATACTCATTGTGTGATTGATTATGGTGACGTACAGCAGTATCTAAGCACTTCTTCCAACCTCCAGGGAAATTTTGGTAGCATTTCATGAATTTTTTCAAATCTCTTATTGTTCTCTCAGCCAATCCATTTCCTGCAGGATGATATGGAGTCGTATGTACAATATTAATACCTCTCGTTGTGGCCCATTCATGAAATTCACCAGAAGTAAAAACTCTCCCGCAATCTGTCACAATATTTCTGACTTGATCCAAATAAGGTAATTTAGCAAAATATTGTTTCACAGATTTTCCATTTTCTTTCATTGCTTTTGCCGAAATGCATCGAGTTGCTTCATCTATGGTAATCAAAAAGGATTGTGTCGTTCTATTTAACTCTGATTTCTTTTGTAATTCGGCAAAATCGATGTGTATTGTTTCATACGGATTTTCAGAGCATTTAGTCAGATGAACGAAGTTTGGCTTTGGCATGTACTTGAATTTCGTCATCTGGCAAACTTTGCATGTCTGTACGTAATATTTAATGTCTTTCGTCATATTTTTCCAGTAAAATCTTTGTTTCAATTTGTAATAAGTTTTATAGTAACCATCGTGTCCTCCTGATAAACAATCATCATGATATAATTTTAATATTTCCTTCACCATTTCTCTAGATTTCACTGCATATCTACCATTTTCTAATTTTTCCAAATTGTCCGCAATCAATAAGTTACACCAAAAAGATTCACTTATATTATCAGGTGTCTCAATGCATAACCTGGATATAGCATCAGCGTCTTGTAATTCCTTTCCAGTTCTATGATTCACGGTTATATCAAAACTCCTCAAAAATATTTGCCATCTAGCCAACCTATCTCGTAAATTACCAGTGGATAGCAATTGAGTCAATGCTCGATGGTCGGTATAAACTGTAAACTTTCTTCCCTCTAAATAGGTTCGGTAATGCTTAACTGCTTTGACTACAGCCAAACATTCTTTTTCAGTAACTGAGTAATTGATTTCACATTTAGAAAAGGTATATGAATAATAACTAATGACCCTCAATTGTCTATTCTTCACTTCTTCATGATCTCTTTGGTATAAAACAGCACCACACCCATAGTAAGATGCATCTGTTGACATTTCAAATGTTAGACGACGATTGGGAATTCTCAAAATAGGCTCAGATGTTATTATTTCTTTCAACTTGTTGAATGCATTCTCACATTCCAAAGACCAAATGAATTGTCTGTCTTTACATTTCAACGCCTCTAATGGTTTCGCTATCTTACTGTAGTCTTTAATAAAACTTCTGAAATGATTGGTGAGTCCAGTAAAACACTGCAATGATTTGATATTATAAGGTCGCTTCATGTTCCTAACTTTTTCTGTAATTTCATTCTTCATCTTTTTAGTGTCTCCATCTATTTCTCTTCCCAAAAATATTACTTTTGGAACACAAAAAACACATTTTTTATAGCTTATTTTGAAGTTTCTCTCATTTAATTTTTTCAAAATTTTTAGTGTTAGTTCTTCACACTCTTGGAATGTATATCCTCCACACATTATGTCATCTATAAATGCTACAACATTATCTTCCAAGAGTTCTCCAAGTACATCCTGTATAATACGTTGGAACTTAGCGCTAGAGTTTTTCCATCCAAATGGTAGTCTTCGGAATTCATAATGTCCTTCTTCAGTAACGAACGCTGTGAATTTACTTGTTTGATCAGAAATGCCTACATTCCAAAATCCATCCTTCAGATCTATTTTTGTGAAATATCTACACCCCCCAAACTTTTCGGTTATATCATTGATAAATGGAAACGGAAATGGATCTAATTCAGTTTGCTCATTCACTTGTCTATAGTCAATACATAATCGAAAACTGCCATCACTTTTTGTTTTTATAACACATGGTGAAGAATAAGGCGAAGATGATGTTCTTATGATTCCATTATTCAGCATATCCTTTATTTTTTCTCGTATCCATATTTGTTTACTTTGTGAAAAACGGTATGGCTTCAATTTAACTATCTTAGCATCATCTTTTAATTTGAAATCAGTTTCGTAACTAGATGGTTTATTATCGAGGTCGCCCAGTATATTTGGAAAATTCCTAACCAATGTGTTTTCTGTAAAACATGTTCGTTCATTCTCTTTGTAGTTTTTCTTGAAGATATTCAGTCTCTGTAAGGTTTCTCGTCCTATTATCAAATCAAATGGCAAAGTGTTAACAACAACAGGATTAATCTCTACAATGACATTATTGAAATTAATTTTCATAATACACTTGTGATTGCATTTTGTTACACCAGCCAAACTTCTTATTTGAACTTTAGCCTCGAATGTGTTCAATGATAATCTTTCTGTCACATTTTCGCTAATAAGATCAATATCAGAACCAGTGTCGAAAAGAGTTTTCAATTTCAGTCCATTTACAGTTATGAACTCTATATTGTCATCATTTTTTATAGCAGAATATGTTGAATAGCTATTATAACTTTCAAAATCTTTTATTTCACCTTGTACATCTTCATCATAGTTGATAAGATTACAATTATGTTCATTTCCGCGAAACGGTTGTCGTCTTTCCACTTCTTGGTTTGCCTTGAATTTTTGATTTTCAGTTATTCCCATTTTCTGATGTGAATTCGTATTTTGCCTACCGTCTACATATCTTGAACTCTGTGATTCTTGATAACCTCTTTCAAATTTGATGTGCTTAAGTAACTGAAGTAGTTCTGTTTTATTCTGAATTTCTTTGTAGCAAATCTGTTTTTGAATATTGTATGGGAGTCCCAGAATTAGAAAGGCAATAACAGATCCTTCAGATAAAGAGTTATCAGCATAGTACAAAAGATGTTGTTTTTCATAAAAATATTCCAATACTGAACCTTGATGAAATCTGTATGACAATGCTTTGTTCCATTTTGTTACTTGGTCTTCATCAAATACTTTGATGAATGATTCCCGCCAATCTGCCCATGTAGAAAATCTGCTTGACTCGCATAATTTTTGTTCATACCACTGCAGAGCGACACCATCTAAACTGCATCTCATATTCAAGATTTTTTCTTCATCTGTAGTCCATTTATTGTGGAAAGCTATCATTTCGAATGTTTTCATCCAAGAATTTGGGTTTTTTCCTGTTCCATCAAACGGGTTGATAGTTTTTTGCGTTGTCGAATCCTTAATGAGTGACAACCATTTTGACATCATCATATCAAGCTCAGATTTACCAATTAATAAACTCCGCTCTTCATTCATGTGGGTGTCTCCAGATTCCTCTCCTCTATCATAATTGATTTGGATCGGGTTATTGTTTGCCGACTGCGCCATATTTGTAACAACTTTATATTCAAATTCTGGAATAATTCCAATATACTTCTTATCTTTTTATTTATTAATTATAATATTCAGATGTTTTATATTATCCATGGATATCATCATCCCTAATACAGGGTGACAGACATATACTGAGGAATATCAAATTCCTGATCTAATATTCCCACATGTCATACCCCAGTAACCCAAAAATCTCACCCGAATTGCTTGCCTGAAAACGCTTCTGCTTAATGCGCAGGAACACTAAAAACTGTCATTCATGACAGCTAGTCATGTTTCTTGGTGTTCGGAAACACGAGTAAGAGTGAGTTAGATATATGACAGGTCCTAAATGCAAATGATTCATGTTCTCCAATTTAATCTCCTGCGTGGCTTACCTTCTTTCTTATGGCATTAGCGGTTTAGATTGTAGTTTATGTCAGTGGTTTGTACTCGATATACAGGGTGTTAGTGAATAAGCGCGAGAAACTTCAGATACTATGTGATATTTCAGGAAATAAAGTGCATATAAACATTTTTCCTAACTTGCTTCGTTTTTGAGATACAGGTTATCAATATTTCCATGAAAAATCATTTTTTTCATTCATTACTCAAATTCCTCTTAATCAATTTGAATGAAACTTGATGGTTTTGTTAATAGTAACATAGAGCTTATTTTGGTGTAATTAGATTCAAAATAATATTTCCAGTGATGTCACAGTGAATTAAGTTATTGATATTTATGGTAAATATCATTGTAGGCCACTGGTTTTTTTGAGTTTCATATTTTTATTAGATTGAACAATTGAAAAATAACATTCTTAATCCCTGAGTTACATTTTGTATCTCGCTTAGATTTTGAGAAAACAATAAAAAATTGATTCGACTCCAAATTTTGATGAAGGTGCTCTCAAGATACCCATTGAAATTATCAAATAACCTCAATAAAGAATTCTTGAACCTTCGTCAGGCTCCAACTGTTTCAGTTTACCTGTAATTATTCCTGTTATCCAGGGTCGAAGAAAGTATTAATGTTTTTCAAGAGAAGTTATCTTTTTTTTACATCAAACTTGATTACCAATAAAAATATGATAGTATATACATGGTGTATCTAAACAATTGATATTCATGAAAAACTATAACACCAACCATACTGAATGTTGACACCATGAAATGTTATACAGGGGGAATATAAACAAAACAGATAATACTTTCAACTTCAACATCTTGTATATCAAAAACCGAGCAAGTTAGGATCGGATACATGTTTTTTGTCGTACTTAGAGATATCACGAAATTCAAATCTTTCTTAACAAAGTAATATTTGGAAATGATATTTTCATGTTTTCTTTCTATTATCATTACAGTCAACGTGTTGAAAGAAATCTATGTACAGTGGCATTCATAAAGTCGGCATCATATGGAAAAAACTCGTAATACTAATTTATTTTGAAATTCGACTTGATTGAGTTTTGCTGCAAAAAAGATGAAAAATAGCCCACTCGGTCAGTCACGTGACTTTCGCAACATGTCAAAAGTTGAACTTTTTCAAATTTATCGCTGAAATTAGTGTTATTTGTCGAATTTCAAAAAAGTTTACTAGGCAAATTTGTTTGTTCAAATTTTACACATGTGCCTACAATTTGAACGTTCTATTGCAACTGTTAGCTCTTGATATTTTTTGATTTCTTCTAATAATGGTAACTTCGACAGAACTGTCCTAAACTTTGGTGAGATATGGAAAGTAGCTTAATGATATTTTGATAGGTGACACTGGCATCATTTTAGTACTGGAAAAATCCATTTGAATAAATTTCGCTCCTGAATGCTAGACGTTAGATCAACTTTGCATCAAACATAACAGAAATTTGAAGCGGGAATTAGTATTTTCTAAACAAAATCATATTTCTTTCGAATAATTACTGATTGAAAGTTAGTAGCATGATAAAGCTACTAGATTGAAATAGACATTTCAGAGAAAAGCAAAAAAATATCAACAACTGGAAGTTGTTATGGAACGGTCGATATCGAGACAGATTTATGTAAAATCGGAACAGAAACACTTTTCCTGTAAACTTTCTTGAAATTCAAACAAACAGGCCTATTTTCAGTGATTAATTTGGAAAAAATTTCCTTTTGACAAGTAGCGAAAGTCACGTGACCCCTCGCGTCGCTAAACTAAACGAACAAAACGTATCTCAAAATAAATCATTATTAAAAGTTTTTCCCATATGATGCCGACTTCATGAATGACACTGTATATTGAACACCTAATAAAATTGTGAATACTGAACACCTGGCATAGAGTATCCTCGAGACTTTCCAAAGCTCAACTCACGTTTATTACTGAGTTTGTCAAGTTGAATATTGCAGATTGTTGCATTTTCGGCGTGCCCAGAGAATCGTCTGAACGATATGACGTGACAGCAGCATCGCTGTTTGATTGCTCCTTCACTGACACTTCGCACTTATCCTGAGACTGAACAATGTTTCCCGAAGAACTTTGTTCGACATCCTTCAAACTCACACCCATCATCTTCTTGTCCAAACTCATCTGTTCCAATAGGGAAATCTCTTTATTTATCAACTTCTTGGCTTCTTCGACTACTGTTACCGACGGGGGCTGGAAAAGTTCTTCGCTGGAAGGAGCGTCCTCGTCAGGGCTCATCGATTTACCCAAAATCACAAACGACTCTTCATCGGAGCCGAGCGACGGCAACGGATGAGGTTCAGAAGGCATTCTGAAGTTATCCAAGGTGAATGTCGATGCGGTATTGGTCGCCATTATTGCTGGAAAATGATATTGTGAGAATTACATGAATATAGAACTATACCTTTTAAACTTCAATATCGGAATCGGTAAGTTATATTTCGGAAAAAGTAATCTCGATTTCAGAATTGGTTAGTTCGATTTCAGAAATGGTAAACTCAATTTCACAATCGGTGAGATGAATTTCAGAAAATGTCGATTCGATTTCAGAAATGGTAAGTTGTATTTCAGAATAGGTAGGTTCAATGGGGAAGACCACTGAGAGAAGAAATCCGTGCAAACCTCTTTCAATCGAACAACCATGATTTACGTTTGATGTACAATCAATATTATGAGTTAAAGTTGAAGGGAATCGAATCTATATCGTTTTGAAATCAGCATATTTCATTCCATATTTCAAACAGCCGAATATGATGGTGGAGTCGTGACGTATTAGTCCCGAACTGTAGCTATCTCTCTCTGATACCTCGTCATTCAAGGACAATAGGCGTGTTGGGAATAAGACGTCGCACCAGTCACACCAATGAATTGACAAAATTTCAAATGGCGCAGGAATTGTGTGTTTTGAAATGGACATATTCTAATTAATTATTTTCTTCTTCTTAGCATGAATGACAGAATTCAAAATTAATTCGCTGGTAGTTTTTCAGTATAGAGTTCACGATAATGTCATTTCAAAAAATCAGTGGTCTCCCCCATTTCAGATAACCGATATAAAGTATATTAAGTATTTCTTGCCATAAGTGGTAGTGTATCTATTTTCAATGTTTTCGCCTTGTTACTAGATTTTTGGACAACAAATTGAGTTAAGTGATATTCTTTAATGAACATTGTTTCAAGATGACTGAATTAAAACGGACTGCAGAAGTCAGGAAATTCAATACTAGGCGTATTTGCTCAGTGTCCCAATGTACCAGTCATACCACAGATAAAATATCTCTGCACTATTTTCCACTTAAAAACAAAGATTTATGCAAGAAGTGGCAATTTTCATTAAAAATTGGAAAACCCATTACAAAGTGGATGTGTGTTTGCAGTGAGCATTTCTTGGGGACCGATTTTATCAAAGGTGAATATTTGAGGTTATGTAAAGGGCCCCTTTTTTAACTCAAGAAAATTTCTAGTTGCGTCTACAACGGAAAGGAAACGTTGGCGTTTGAAGAAAGGAGTAGTTCCAACTCAGAAAATTCAAACATAGGCCAAATATTCTCTGACTCTGACAGCTGCTGATATTTTCATTATCTAGCTGACATAAGATAATATGACCAGCCTTGAAGACGGCTTCGCCTTCTTTGATTGGCCTTTGACGAATACCTACGTTGGCAAAAATGTCCGACAAACTCACTTTAACTTTCGACATTTTGGACAATTCAGTAGAATTTGAATAAAAACGAAATCGAACACAATGGTCTCTTATGGAATAACACAGCTGATCACCATTATACGCTTCCCGCTCAAATTCTGTGCGCCATCTAGCGGAAACGAGTTTTGCGAATAGTGGTAGTTCTGGATAATGCACCTGCACATTCAAGAATAGAAGAGATATGCATGGAGGAAGAATTTCAAGATGTTATATTTTGCAGATTGGAACCTTACAGCCCTATGTTGAACCCGATTGAAGATATGGGTGTCTTCAAGTCAGAAGTGAAGATCTGTTTGCAAGAGCATCGCCAAAGGGTCATAGCCGGGGATCCAAACAGATTGCTCAACCAGATGTTATTGAATTGTTTTTGAAAAGTTGAATATTGTAAATATAGTTTGTTGATTTCACATGCAATTCAAACAAATACAAGGATTTGTTTTCTGAAATTGAACCTTCCAATTCTGAAATACAACTTACCATTTCTGAAATTGAATGGACTTTTTCTGAAATTCATCTCACCGATTCTGATATTGAGTTTACCATTTCTGAAATCGAACTAACCAATTCTGAAATCGAGATTACTTTTTCCGAAATATAACTTACCGATTCCGAAATTGAAGTTGAAAAGGTATAGTGGACTAGAGGAAATAGTTATCTGTATGATATTATAAAGACTAGCATTATCAGTCCTGAATCATTATACAGATGCCAACATTATTATCGTCACGATAAGTTTATCTTAGGGTCAGTGCCAGATTTAGGGGGAGCCCAAGGCGGCGAATTTTAAGAGGCGGTAGAGAAAAAGCGAAGAAGGAAGCGCCGATGACTAAACAAATGATCACAGTGGACTGACGTCATGCTATTAGAGGACCAGAATAAAACTCCCTGGCCGAGCTAAGCCTCTACAATTTTATTGCGAAAAATGATCATCAGAAAACTAGAATCCCAACATATCACGTGATGGGAATGGTTCGAAAGATTTAGGTACTTCGAACAGTTCTTGTTGAATCAGGGTTCGGTAGGCCGTAGGTGATGATATTTACGAAGAATGAGGTATCTATGTGTCCATTCCTAGCATGAAAACTTCGAATATTTCCGCAGCACATAAGAATCCACGAAGCAGCACTGTGCCAAGGAAACTCGCAGAAATATCCCTACTTACGTGTATTTGAACTAGTTGCCCTCAATATTTTTCGATGACCTATCATCTTCTTGATTCTTTCATGTAAAAAAAGATAATAACCCTGTAAAAATGGAAGGTAATGTCATGATTTCCAGATATGAAATTAGTGTAAAAAGGAATCATTAATACCCACTGATTATTCTTAGTATTTTTTGAAGAAGGAAAAATGTAGTATGCTTACAAAATATGTTATCTCACTCGTTAAACACTGTCTATAAACAAATTAAATTTTATATTCGCGATGATTCATATTATGCACAATCTTATTCAGATTATAAATGCATAGATATTAACTTTTATCATTACACTTGACAAACAATAGCACCTATCTAAGATAAGCAAATGTTCTATAAACCTCACAGTATCTATCTATTAAATGAAATTTGAGAAGAAAACATCACTTCACCTTCACGGTCTCTTGAATTTGAATTAATTCTATCATCTTCTATCGATCTAACTATGTTAGCTTCTTCAGAAGAAGATTGAAACTATCTATTCTGTTGGGCTACTTATACAGGGTGTTCCTCAAAGACATGCTAATATTCACTTTCCCATTTCAATGACTCACCCTGTATATCCCACGGATATAATAATTTGGCGACGAGGATCACGAGTAGAATTTGCAAGTTTTTGAAAGCAGGATTTTTGTTATCACTGAAACTTCGGTAGTAAGTGATACCGTTTGTTCAATTAATGGTTTCAAACCTGGTGATGACATTTTTTCGGAAAGGCTGGCCCAATATTTCCAGGCCAATCTAATTGAAGATGGAAAAACGATTGACACTCACCGAAGAAGAAGTTTACAGTTTTGAAGGAGCTAAAGTTAAACTTTAGCTCCTAGGAACTAAAAGTGTTGCCTATTTGTATCAGTAATAGAAACGTCAATTCAAGAGCTAATTTTGGTATCAAAATGTACGACTTTTGTGTCGGTTGCAAAAAAAGACATTTCTCATTTGCCGAAGGTGATATAGTGTTTTGCAGAGATTATAGGACGAAGTGTGTAATAGAAGAAATTTAAGGTAATAATGTATTAATCTGTAAGTACTCGATGAGGAAATTTTCTGGAAAAGACATTCAGATCAGATCATAAAGATCAATGAAATAGATCAAAACGGTCATTCAACTTCAAATCCAGGCAATATCCTTCCATAGAGAGAAAACACTTCAGCGACTTAAATGTACGCTGATGGAGATTAAATAGTAGATTGTTTTATTAGGATCAAAAGTGACACTTTTGATCCGAATGAAACATGCTATTTTTTCTGCAACCGAAACAATTGACTCAAATAAACATGTGAAGTAACCACCCATAATGCCGTGCCATATGTATGCAATGCAACAAATATTGACAAAAAATCCATGTGGTGAGAATATTCTACCTGCATTAACAGCAGGTTAGGTTTTCTAAGATGTTTGAATTGTAGTTTCAATATAAGTACAACCACAGAGTGACATATTTGTGTATGGACCAGGTGCTCTAATGGCTAATACCGCGCCAGTGCCAGCTATAGGAACAAGACGTGAAAAATGTTTGGTTAGTGAGCATATCAACAATGATAATAGTAGAGTTTATTTATTCCTCTCCATACTACACTGTGTTTGACTTGATAATCAAATGAAGCTAAACAATATCGTTGTTTGAGACAAAAAAACAATTGCTTGCCGTGATTATTCAAAAACAAGTTATCCATCCCGAGAATAACGAATGAAATACAGATCACGCAAGTATTTGAATCTTGAAGGCTTCCCTGATCAAAACAAAAATACTTAACTGAGATGTTTATAATTTCAATACTAAACTATAATAAGGTGTATTTATATCTCCAGCATGGGTATGAAATGCCAAATCTGCTGAAATCGGAAACAAATCAGGTATGCGTCTCAACCCAAATAACCAACCGCCACAATGTTGTTTATTCTTGATGACGTCCAGTAGATCCTTTTTAGTTCCTAGGAGCTAAAGTTCAACTTTAGCTCCTAGGAACTAAAATTCAACTTTAGCTCCTAGGAACTAAATATGTTGCCTAGCAACATACCTATTTTTGTGTCAGTAATAGAAACGTCAATTTAAGAGCTAATTTTGGTATCAAAATGGATGACTTTTGTGTCGGTTGCAGAAAAATGTAATTCAGAATCATGACTCCAGGAGAAATCATCTCGAATGAGAATGTGCCTGATAGTCATAGTCCTTCAATTTCTGGCTCTGGTTACAATTTGAGACCAAGGGGTCACCAGGTTGTTTGATCTTGTAACGGGGGTATTGTGGTGTATTGTTATGTATCACTATTTATAATGTATATATGTCATGTATCATTCTGTATGTAAATATTTGGATTCATGATAACTGGAAGATTACTAAGGGTGATTGTCATAATAACTGATGTATCATCTATTTTCACTCTTGTAAAATGAAGATGTTCTTTCGTAAAGCTGAATCATTATAATTATTATACAGGGTGTTGCGAAATTCGACC